TGCTCCTTGAAAAAAGTCGTGTCAGTAGTGTTACAGGGTTATTCCCAAGCAAGACGAATGTAGATGACCTGGCAGATTTCGTAATGACTTCATGAAGCCAGCAGATGAGAGAAACCCACACAAATCATCTTCCTTTTCACAGAAAAATAGAATTGCAGAATAGAGGCTTATTCATAGACGGTGCTTGCTACGACTGGGCTGTCTGAGCAGCAGTTATCTTCTCCCAGGCAGAAGAAGCAGAAGTCATCACGCTGCTCACCTGATATGAGCACTCTAGATGTGTCTGACAGCTATTCTTTTCTAAAAATAGATAGACAGCCCCCCCAACCCAGCAGATCCTTAATTAGATATAGAAAAATGTCGCTTTTTCCCTATTGATCTATCTTAAATATATAATAGTGGAGTCCTTAAAGGGTAAGGCTGGTACTGCTCTTTCACAGTGGCTTTTTATCAGGCTGTCGTATGCACTGTGGTGCCACTCGGGCAATAAGGATCTCTAGGGGGAAGGGCTCCATCTCCATTTTTGTAACACAGAATGCTCCTTGGATTAAATGAATAAACCAGCCTTGGGATAGAGACTGGACCCCAGTCTCCCGTCCCCATACTGACTAATCACTAGAAAAGATTGCCATATTCGTTCTCGCTTTTTCCCTAATTCCCAGTGGATCTTCAAGCTGTTAATGCCAAGCGTTGCCGTATGCAGGCTATAAAAGTACTCACGCACGCTAGCCCAAGCTGACTGTTCTACAGCCATCGAGGCCAGGCAGTTGGTGTGGTTTTACGCACCCCCACGTATTCATGCTCTGCCTTAGCACTAGGGCTCAGCTAACCCTGCGGCTTAAGGTCTTCACCGTGGAGTCTGATGGGTGCCAGGCGGAGGAGAGGGAATGCCGCATAGAGGTAGGTCGTGATTCTGAGGGTTGTTTGGGTGTAGATACCTAAACACTGCTTTCTGGGCCTAGGTCTTAGTCAGTCAGTACTGGGAAGTCTGACAGTTTGAGAAGAGCTCATTTTCTTAAATAACTCCTCTACACAAGAAGGTGGTCTAGAGTTGCAGATATCTTAAGTAAGTTAAGCATTTATATACGAATGGCATTGCTTTCTTAAGTAGTACAATAACGTGTGATCAGATGGATTCTATCTGTAAATTAGCTTTGAATTGCAGCTTCTGCAAGTTTATCTAAAACTTTAATTTGAAGGTTTTGCGATATTTCTTATCTGACAGAATTGCTTTATTTGTAAAATTCTATGTGAGAAATAATGGTGCTTGTCATGTCGAACGGAAGGTGATGGTCAGTTTTATGTTTTCAAACAGCCTCGTGTGTGTGTCAAAACACTTGCTATGCTAGCTCCTAGACTGGACTGACTGGAATTTTTTTGGGTATCCAAGCATAAGCAAAAACTGCACTGCATACAGAATGCCAGTTTCAGTAAGGGGCTAGCGCTATCTGGAGGGGAGAGCTTCTGACTGGTTACAGGCATAGCAAAAGTTCACTTTGGCTATGGTGCATTAGTTATTATCTTGAAGGCTCTCTTAGGCTGCACTGTTACCTCTTCAGAAACACTCAAAAATACTTTACAATGGAGATATCCAAGACCTGATCCAAATTGACTGCGGCAGATGACATTCAGGCAAGTGAGCGATGTTATCCACAAGACCGCACATAACGATGTTCCTGGAGGGCTACATTACTGTTGTAGACGAGAATGTGTTCCAGAAATGCATTAAGCTGAAACCGGCCTGGTTGCAGGTGCAGCTTCACTGGCTTAAGTGGCTTTGAATCAACAGACAGCAAATATCAGCTTTCCAGGGCCTGCATGCGGAGCCCCCAGGCAGAGATATATGTATTAACAAATTGCAAGCAGCGTTTTTGTGCGTCGGCTCAGAAAGGCGCTGCCAGCGGGGCACTCTGCCACGGGGGACACTTGAACCTGCCCCCTCCCAGAGCAGTTCTGCCAGCAGTAGCGCTGGGGAGGTTCAAGGCTGATGGAGGAGATCAGCAACTGCAGCCTGGGCAGGTCCAAATCATCCCACCTGGCATGAGAAGGTTACCATGAATGATAGCAGCCCAGGCAGTGCAAGAAAAGGCTGTAGGGTTATAAATGGGAAGGGGTGAGAAGAGGGCTAGAGTACAAGTTTTTAGGTCTCGCGTGGAGGAACCAAGAGATCAGGATGGTTTTCCCACCTCATACCCTCTTCTGAAGAGGGTTAGCTGGCCAAAGTGTGGTTAGGGAATTTGGGGGTCAGACAGAGGGCTCCTGGGCTAGGACTGGGCTGCTTCTCTCTTGAATGTGGAAGCCCCGATGGCCTGGGTGGAGGCTGAGGTGACACAGAACTGGCCTGTGGGTCTGACAGCTCTGCCCGGCGGTGCTCTTCAGCAGGCAAGCAGAGCTAACTGCCTTCCCTCCCATGGGGTGACTCAAAGTCACAGGGCTGGTGGCTTGCTTGCTTCTGATCTTCAAGCACCCCAATGAGTAAATAGTAATTTGGAAAGCTCTTTTCCATGGCTGGGCATAGGACTTTAATTTCATGCGATTAAACACATTCTCACATGTTTAAACCCTGGGTGGAGTTCCTGGGGAAATATGAATGCTAGTCAGGCTGAGCAACAGTGGCAGAACTGTTCTGCAGAAATTCTGTTGAAAAACATTTTTCCTTTCTTCCCAATAGAAATTCATCAACTTTTGCTTCATTCAGCCCAATGTATCTGTAGGCTATTGACTTCTCAGTTTCCCTTAGCTGTCAACGTTGTTAAAGAAAGATATGGAATAAAATCTCCAAATTTGAATTTGAGATATATCTTCATGCCTTTTCTCATTAAATGTAAAATGAAAAAGCTGTGTGCCAATCACATCATTGTGGATGCCCAGATGTGTAACCTATTGAGGTAAAAGTTGGTCACCAGTTTCTTTCAGTAGGCACATTTTGACGCTTTCACTGAAAATAGTCAACAGTGTTGGACATACCAAATCCAGGACGAGAGAGCTACGCAACTTCCTCCTGTAGAGGGTTTAAAGAAAAAGAGAAATGCAATATTATCCTTGCATTGTGTCCTTTATATGTTCTTGGGACATCATGTGGGCAACTTGGGACAAGTTTGGAAGATGCGTTTGACTTGGAAGGGTCATACACTGAGTTGTTCCACCGCTGGCTACTGGCACCCATGGAACGATGTTGGAATCGCTATGAGTGCCATGTCTTGTCATGTCAGCCGAAGGTCTTTTGCTGGAATAACAAAGGAAGCAAAATGCTGTAGAGTTGTCCTCTCCCTGGAGCACTGTTTCGGTCCTGTACCACTGGGGGGGAAGACTCGCCTGGGCACGATCCTGGGCCGCCAGGAACGCTGGCAAGAATGCTCTGGAAGGGACGGGTTCAAGGAACTTCTGTTTCCGGCCCTGCAGGAAGGACACACGAGGTCAGCACAAAGAGCTGACTTCAAATGCCTACTCTGCTTCCTTGCTGTAATAAACATGGCAAGTAAAATAAAGCCAGCCGGAAAGCTGCTGCTGAGCCGTGCGTGGCTGTTAACCCCCGAAATGCTTCCCGACCTGTAGCCCCAGGGAGTAATCGTTCGGTGAGTGCACTGGGGTGTGTGTCTGAGGAACAAAGCCTGGAATCACATAGCAAATTACTGGTTTTGCAGCCCCTTTTGAAGACTCAGGGAGCAATCTTGTGTTCCTAAAAGCATCGGGAGGGGGGGCTTGGTCCCCCTCTCCCAGCTGAGCTCGGCGTAATGGGAGGGTGCTGGGTGAAGGCTTGGGAACAAAGTGAGAATGTGCTGTAAGTGTTTTTGTTTTATGGGAAAGACAGTAACTCCTTCCTGAACAGAAAGAAAGAGGACTTGAAAGGGTTATTTTCTGATGTTTTGGCATCCTTCTCCTTGCCCCAGCAGAGATCCAACCAGGCTGCCTTGTGTGATGCTTTAAATGGAGAGGAATAGGCCAGAAAGAAATAAAAGCGGCTCGCAGTGCAGAGAGGAGTGGTGCTTGGGAAAGGACTGGCTGTTGCTGCTGATAAAGGTGAGTGAAAGAGGAGATTCTTTACAGTAAACGGGCTACCATGGATAGGGACAAGACTCTGCTGGCCACATCCGTCCTTGACGTTCCTCAATGCACCATGGGTCACATCTGGCAGCCTGGCGGGGCCTGGCTGCCTGTGTCCTGGAGGGTTTCCCTGCTGGGGGAGGATGGGACAGGGGATGCTCAATGGCAGCACCCTCAGGACCCAGCCAGCGCCCTCGGTGAGCCCCTGTGCCAGGCTGGGTGCGAGGGCACGGTGCTGCCTTCACAGTCACATGCAGCAAGGGCCGGGCTGGCCACAGCCTCCTGCAAGCTGGGGATCCCCAACTGCGGGGTGCAGGTGGCTGGACGTAGGCAGGCAGCCGTAAGCCCCGAAATGCCCATGCTGGGCACAGGAGGGAGGGCACGGGGCTCACGGGAGGGCAACCGAGGCCACCCCTGCAAGCACCCTGATGTGTGTGCTGATACGTGCTTTTTTTAAAGTCGCTTTGGTGCAGCCAAGATTTGTTTGGTAAGTGGGAACAGGTTCTGGAAAATTATTTTGCAATAGAAAACTTGTTCTAAATTGTGTCCTGTCTGTAGACAAACGGGATAACTTTCTGCAGCATGCTGCTTTTTCCATTTCTCCCTACTCAGCACAAGGCAATCTCACTCTTTTCAATCCATTGGGATGTCTTCGTTCCCAGTCCATGCCTATACAACTGATGCTTTCTGGGTTTTGGTTTTTTGGGTTTTGGTTTTTCGTCGTTCGTTTTTGATCACTCTGGATTACCAGAAGCAATGGGTGTTTCCTACTGGTGATTTTGCATTTACACAAGGGTAGGAACTGAACGCATGCAGGGCGGCTTGGCCCAGGTGCCAGTTCCCTTGCTTGCCCTTTAGCTCCTCCTCTTCCTGCCCCTCTTTGCCTCCCCTCCCTGTGCTTCCCTGGCGGCATTGCTGGCTCTGCACAGGCCCAGTTTCTCTAATCAGATGAAGCCGCAGGATTATCCCTCTCCCTCCCTCCTTCCTAGGCTCCATTTTATTCCCTCTCCAGCCAAGGGGGGAGGCAGGAAGGGGCGTCACGTCCAGGCAGAGGAACCCCCATCTCCCCGTCTCCTGCCTTTGATGCTCTCTAACAGTCCCTCCTCCTTCCCCTTATCATATGCTCACCTGAGCGTCAACAGCACCGGGCGGATCGGGGAGCCCGGTTCCTGAAGGAAATTTGGCTTTTGTTCTCCTCAGATGCCCGACCCTCTGTTTCAAATGCCCTCCAAGTAGCTGGGAGAGGGAAGCTGTGCCACCCCCGAGTAGGGGCAAGGTAAGGACCACCAAAGTCACGTATCGCCCCTTCCCTCCTCTCCCTTTTGCCAGCAGGTCTTTGAGAGTAACGAAGCAGATGAGGGGCAGGGAGAGGAGCTGCACGGAGCCAGACCCAGGGAGAGGAGCTGCACAGAGCCAGACCCAGGCTTCTGCGAGTGCTGTGCGGGCAGCAGGGGGGCGAGAGGGGGCTGAAAAGCCCAGGAAATTGTAGTTTTCTCTTTTGCTGAAATGACGGGAACGGTGGCTCTGAGCTTTGACTGAATGTCATTGAACATCAATGAACTACATTTAGTTCTGCAGAAGGTGTGTGGGGGGGAGGGTGCTGGTGTCTTTCACTCAGATGTGTATGTATTTGTCTTTTAGCAAGTGCTTCTAGAATATGCTTGTCACTGTTTCTTTGGGGGAGAACCCCCCCATAATCCCGTTCATCTTATTTCTCTGCCCATCTGCAAGTTTACAAAGATGCTTTTTGATTATCTTTTGTGTGTACGTTGGGGTTTTGATACTAAAAAAGAGTAAATTGTATTGCTTTAAATTGTTACCTTTTAGCACTAATCTGCCAGAGAATGGTTTCCCTTGTTTTTCCACCATGTGTACCACATGTTTTTGAAATTCCTAAGAAGTTAATATCCAACACTAGAAAAAACCCGAGGAATATAAAAAAAACTGTGCCTTCTGCATATCAGCTTTGTTTTACCCTCTTCTTTCCCAGATAAATGATCAATCGCTATTTAGAATGACTGATAAAATTTTCTCTTAAACTAAAACATGTATTTTCCAAAGCCAAAGATTTGATTTGGCTTGGCTTTTTATTGTCACTGGAGTCAATGTTTTAAATCAGAAACTGCAGTAGAAGAGTGTTTTGTGCATACATTGTAGTTTATAACCTGCTATGATTGAAAGTAAGAATTTGTGCTGATGCACGTCTGGATTTTAGGGGAAGAGGTTTAAAAGGGAGGGGAAGAGCAAGCAGTAATTTCAGTTTAGAGAACTCCAAGCATGAAAGGTGAAAGATAACCATTGGATAAATACATTTTGTAAGATGTTGATCTTGTGCATAAATAAGATGGACCATATAAAGATCAAAATCTACCTCTTTTCCAGTGACTTGTGCTTCAAAGCAACCATCTGATACAAAAATATTGGTGATTTCCATGCACCAATTTGTGCACCACATTGATTAAAGCTTGCAAAGAGTTGTTTGCATGTTTAAGGTTAAGCATATGTCTGAATGTTTGCAGGACCTAGATCACAGTGAGAACTGAGTTCAAAGACCTCTGCATGGAGTCCTTGTGTAAAAGAATTAGGTTTGGGGAAGGTTTTGTATGTGAGGGTGGGTTAGATGAGGGCTTCATGTTTTCGTGTCGTGGCTCAGTCACTCTGTAAAATGCTCTTTGATTATAGGGTTTTGTTGATTTTTAGCATCCAGACATTTTATCTTAACTGTACTCCAGAGAGAGCTGCAATTGCAGTTTAGTTTGTCTGACAATTACCTAGGGCTGCATAAACCACAAGAGCAGTAACCTGTACATAGCCTTGTGATGTCCAAGCTGGTTTATAATATCAAATGTGATAATTCCCTGTTAGATAACCATACCAAATCCACATTTTTCCTTCCATAGCAAACTATACATATTCAAAATACACTTGAAAAGAGTACGTGAGGGAGGGTGGAACAGGTGAAAATTGTTGTCAATGGTCATTATACTTCTGAAGTTTAACTTTCTTTCTGTTAAGGGCAACGATGCAGGGTAAATTGGAGGTATCTTTATAACACTGGAGGTAAGCCGAGGTATTTGCTGCACCAGGGAGACAACGCCCCCCCTGTCTGCAGGCTGGTCAGCTCTGTGCAGAACAGCAGCCAAATCCTCTTCCTTCTTCAGCAACCCTTCTGAAGATTAAAGAGGCTGATTTCTCCATTCCTTTCCCCTGTAGTTAATGTTTTAAAATGAGGATGGAGCGTACTTGACTGGTCTCTTGTATTTGGATATTGCAAGCTGTTAGACAATTTGCAGGAGAATGCGGCCTAGGAAAGGGGCTTTCAGAGGCTCAGGAGCTAGACAGAGAGCTGTTAGTGGTATTCATTCATTTTCTGTGTTCTGCAAGTATTCTTTTCAGTGAATCAGAAAATAGAAAAATCCTATTTTTTTCTTTTATCATATGCCACAGTTTTATTGTTGCAAGTGACCCTCAAGTCATTGGGCAATTAATTCTCTTCCTAAAAGAAGCAAAAGTTTGCATCTTTGGCAGATGTATGTGATGTTTCATTGCTTGTAGTCCCAAACCATTCTGGCCCAAGAACAACAGTATAGCATGAATCATAGGCTGCAAATGATGTTACACTTTACTTTCCTTGTCAGCTTTGCACTCTTTTTTTTTTTTTTTTTCTTTTTCTTTTTTTCATTCCCTGTGACCATGAGCAGCACCACAGGGTTTGTGGGCACTGGCCTTTTGGTTAATTCTTGCAGTTTCTTGGCACCGTAACAAGAGTTTTTTAACTGGTGTAAGCTGTAAAGCTGTATGCATATATGGTATCATACGTGAAAACACTTTTCCTTGGGCTATGAAAATTCTGGAAGATCTGAATCATCCAAACTCTTAATAGTCTTTTTTTCCTCAGGGTGAGGGTGGGAGGTGTTTCAGTGGTGAGAGTGGTGCTTTCTGTAAAAGCGAAAAGAGGGGGAGAATGAAAATAAATGTTGGAGCAGAGTGGTCAGGAATATCTGCCTGAGGGGTACCAGGAGAAGGCAGTGAACTGAGAGATACGAAATGAGCCGTTCTCTGGTTAAGATCACTTGATGCGATATTTCTTATGGATGCATTATAACTATTGAATTAATCTAAAGCTATGCAGCTGATAGTTCATACATATGCTAAGAACTGTCCTTTAGGAGTATCCTCTGATTCCTTAGTGGATGGTGGGGCAGAAAGATGGTCTCTTTCCATTACAAAAGCTGTTAAAGTTCTTCAGAATAAAGTTCCACTCAGAGAAATTATCTTTGGCAACAGGAACCACAAGAAAAATCACTTTGGGGCTGCTTAGGTACATTTACTCGGAGTGTGGAAAGGGGGACAGGCTAACTAAATGAAGCTGACATCAGCCAGGTCTTTGCTAGTTGATCGGTGGCGTTGAGTGTGAGCATTAAGCACGTGAGTTACATCCCAGCATGATTCTGCACCCAAAAAGCATAGTAAGAAAGATCACCTTTAAACTGGCCTGTCCTTGTGTGCATCTTTAAAGTAACGTCTTCCAAAATTAGGGCTTAACTTTTGCACAGTGTGGATGTAATACAGAACAGAGAAAGGAGCCAGGAGTATTTCTCCATCTGCAGAATATTTGCTAATTAAGCCTTAGCAAGGGCACACCTGAGTGTGCAAATGAAGGTTAATGGGATTGAGCAGTTGTAAGACCTTCATTTGACTTGCAGAGCTTTCCTCTGGTCAACAGTGCGTAATACTGACAGAGCCCAGTTCATCTGAGATGAATGGAAAGACCTGATTCCCTTTTCAGCTCAAACTAAGCAAACCTGACATGGAAATTGGAGAGATGATGAGTGCACAAAGCCACCCTAACTCTTCTGAACTGGATTTTTTTAGACTTTTAAAATTATTTTATTGTTTTCTCCAAAGAAGCTTCTGGGAAAGTTCAGTGTTTATGACTGAACAGGGTGGATAAGTACTTCTTGAAATGCCGTCAAGGAAAAAGATACTTCTTGTTTTAGCAGTTTTATTTGGTTCTCAATGGCCTCTGAGCTGTGGAAGGGGCGTGGAGTGCTTTTGTTGATTTGGTAACAAGAAAGACACCAACAGATTTGTAGGAAACTTTTGGCGTTCACTGCCTCCTTCATAGGTATCACCTCGCCTGTAGAACACAGGCATCACTTCTGTGGTTCCTTTCAAAAGTTATTCCTGTTTTACCTCATTCCAGGGAAAGGGTCAGGTTCCACTAATCAATTAAACAAATGGTTTAATATTGCAAAATGATTGCACATTCCAGCTTCTTTTGAGGCTCAGGATGAGAAGCTGTATGAAAACTTCTCATTGGCAGTGACAGGCAAAAGCACAAAATTCTGAAAACTGTAAAAAAAAAAAAAAAAAAATCACTGAATCATTCAGTTTGGAAGGGACCTTGGGAACTCATCTCTTCCAACCCCCTGCTCAAAGCAGAGACAGCTATGAGGTCAGATCAGATTTCGTAGGGTTTTGTCCACTTGGGTCTTGAATATGGTCAAACCAATGTTTGAAAAGCAAAGGGTTCCTGTAACAGAGACTTAATTCTTTATAATCAGTATCTTGTTGCTAGCAGTTAACAGCAGATACTTAAAGAGTTATCCTCCAGCTGTCCATGTCGTACAGGTGGGATCTTCCTCTACCTTGGTGATGACAGGAACCTGCCTTGTCTTGCAGTTCTTGTTTGAGTTGTTCCGAATTTATACCTCAATATTTTCTGTTTCTGACACTATTAAATGTTAATAAGTATGGACTTTTGCAGCTCATTTTGTGGTTGAGATCAACCAAGAGGAGGGGAAGCTTGCTTGTTTACACAGAGCAGGGTGTAAATATAAGTTCCTGAGGAAGTTCTTCACAGACTCGGATTTGACAAAACATTTGCAAGTTTTAGTCTGCTGCTTTACTGTGTCTTGAGTTTTCTCTCCTTAAGGTCTCTGGTGTCAGATAAACGCTGGAGAGCATCCTGTGAGCATGGGCTCTCCTCTAGCCAAGCTATAATGTTCTTCTTCTCTCAGTCCTGAGAGTAGTGAGATGCTCCCTTTAATTCCTTTCAGATGGTTTCTGAAAACTACAGATAAGTTTCCCACATAGGTCTGATTAGACCACAGTGTAATTGGGACAGTTGCCTTTTTGAGAGAGAGACACCGCACTTTGACATAATAACTGGTCTTTATGACAAAATATCGACTTTGGAAAGGAAACTTATTCTTCCTAGTTCCTCCCATATTCTTTTTTTATATAGTTTCAAAGCTAGCTTATACTACAGTC